TACAGCGTATTATGGTCGTTATTCCATAGAATGGCTCTCGGACAAACTCGCACCAAATCACGGCATGGTAAATCTAACCACCGGTTTCTGGCTGGAGGGTATCGTCTCTGCCTTTTACCCTTTAGAGGAGACGCGGAGGCCGAGGACAGGTAAAGCACAGCCCTCGGCTCCATTCTGTTTCAGCCTGTGACATTTCTGCAGCCGTGCTCTCGGTGGCTGTGAGCAGCTGCCATAATATTTACTGAGGAACCAGATTGACTTTTCCCAAAAAATCAATATCTGCTTTCGGGCCGCTACGCTGGGTTGAACCCGCATGCTAATAGCAGCTCTGTCTGTATTACTCCGTCAGATTCCCTCTCTCCCTATATCCACCTTTAAATCCCCCATTCTCTCAGTGCTAAATCCTCACTCCTTTCCATCTTCAAGCACTCACTCTCTCTCCTCTCTCTCTCTTGTTCCTTTCCATCACACCATCACTCTCTCCTGCCCTCTTTCGACAACCAGCACAGACTCAGGCATGTTAATAATTAACGTCAGAGCAATTGCAGACAATTAAGACTGTTGACTGGCCCATTAATTTTCCCGGTCAGAGTTGAGAGTTAAATCAGACGAGTAAAGGTGGAGTGTTACAGCTAGCTAATCATTCAGCTCCCGTCTCTTTCCCCGACGCAGCAACGAACGCAAAGAAACAGACGCAAAAACATGCAAAGCTCGGCTCCCTCTGGACTTGTGCTGTCTTTAAAAGGGGAATTCCACCAAATTTTCAAACCAATGATTAAGATGTAAAGTCATTCAGAGTGGTTTGGTCTGAAATGCTCTGTCACAGAGAAACTTACAAACTCAGAATTGTTCACAGTGGTGGTGACAGGAACCAGACGCCTGCAGAGTTTAAAGCTTCTAAAATCCTGTAGAAAGTTATTCCTCAAATACGTTACTTTTTACAAAAGTTTTGGGATAAGATTTTGAGATAATTAATGGATTTTAAAAATGTGCTCTTTCAAAATCCATCCATGGTGAGGGGGTACATTCAGGGAGTTGTAATGCAAATTAGTCCCCAAAAGAACATTTACAGATAAATCCCCAGAAGGTTTCCTGGTGGTTTTGGAGAGTAAATAAAATGGATATATTTGCAGTGTAGACAACAGGACCCCTGGTTCCTATCACCACTACTGCCTTATATACACTGATCAGGCATAACATTATGACCACCTCCTTGTTTCTACGCTCATTGTCCATTTTATCAGCTCCACTTACTATATAGGTGCACTTTGTAGTTCTACAGTTACAGACTGTAGTCCATCTGTTTCTCTGCATACTTTGTTAGCCCCCTTTTACCCTGTTCTGCAGTGCTGAGAATGACCCAACACCCAAATAGTAACTGCTCTGTGAGGGTCCATGGGGGTCCTGACCACCGAAGAACAGGGTAAAAGGGGGCTAACAAAGTAAGCAGAGAAACAGATGGACTACAGTCTGTAACTGTAGAACTACAAAGTGCACCTGTGGACAATAAAATGGACAATGAGCGTAGAAACAAGGAGGTGGTCATAATGTTATGCCTGATCGGTGTATATAAGGCAGTTGCCCATGTCAAAATTTCATGATGAACAGACCAACAGAGATTGTCCAAATTACTCCAAGAATCCATTTACTTCCATTAAAAGTTAATAAAGTTTTTCCTTCTCCTGTAAAGTTACCTTTTTGGAGATACACTTTTTTTTGACAGCAGCAATACATATATATGTTTTGTTGATTTTCTAAGTGAAAATAAGTTAACACATCCTCTACAGAGACCAAACTTAAACATGTTACTTTCTGCAAATTTTAGTGCACCATTTCTGTTCATTTATATTTATTTGCTTTAACATATTGGAAAGAAATAAACCAACTGTAAAATGTGCCATAACTCTTGCAGTCTTTCACCCAACTTGTTAAAGGCAGCTTAGAAACATTTGACCAGGGATGCCCAAACTTTCGCAAATGATGATTTATATATATTTTAGGTTTATATCCTTTATGTATTAAAAGTTTTTTATATCTTTATGTCTTAAAAGAAAAAAAAGAAACATTCTGGAATCCTTAAACGGCTCTGCGTGATTAGTTATTGTTCATTTAATTTCATTTTCAATTGTTTGGCCATTTTTAAAAATTACATGAGTATTCTTCAAAATAACTGTTTGATTACTCGATTACTAATAAGACAGTGACAGCTCTTCTACTATATGTAGGCTGTTAAAGTCTATAAGCTGTATTCATAAGCTGTATTTGTCAGGTCAGCCTTTCCTGATGCATGTTAGGATGTCTGAATATGAAAATGCCTGCGCTGCCAGAACGTTACTTCACTCTCCGCAGTCAGTCTGTCACTGTCCTTTCTGCCCCATGGTTGGCTTACCAGAGCAGCGGTCTTGTCATTTGAGACGTGGGATTGGTGGAGCCAAGCGGAGAGTGTAACGCACATAGACAGCGTGCTGGCCCATAATCACACAGACTTGACCTGACACATCCTGCCTCCCCCCTGCCACGGCCCTGCCAATCAGCACAGCTGGGCACAGGTTGCTAAGCAACAGTCTTAAAGGGGCACTTGAAGGGGAGAGGGGGTCTACGAACAGCGGGGCATAGAGCAGGCCGGAAAAATAACACAAGTTCAGACAGAAAAACCACTGCGCGCGCACACACACACACACACACACACTACAAAACATACTGTATGAAACTACATGGTGCAGACTGTATAACTGGAACAGAACCTTCTTCTGCATAAGTCTTTCATTGAGATGAAAACAGTCATTCAGAGTGTTTAGATGTGAAATAGTTCATTGTAGAGAAACTTACTGATTCAAAGTTCTTTACAGTGGTGGTGATAGGAACCAGGGATCGCAATGTCCACAACGCAAATACAGCCATTTTATCTACTATCCAAAGCAACCAGTGAACGTACACACGTGTTTTGAGTTTTGTAATGGTAAAAAAACCGGGTACATCTTAAAAAAAAAAAAAAACAACTTTTTTTTTGGGGACTATTTTGCCTAACAACATCTTACATGTAGCTTGCATACATTGTAATACAACGTCTCAGGCATCCAGCAGCACATTTGTCCTATTTTAGGTAACAGTTTTGTGTGAGGGAGCTTTTAGAGGCATTAACTTCTTCAGATGTCTGGTTCCTATCACCACCACTGTGAACAATTCTGACTCAGAGTTTCTCTAGAATCATGCATTTTGCATCAGACCACTCTGAATGACTTTGTTTACATCTTAACTATTTAATTATCGCAGCTGTCGGAACAAAACCTCGTATCTCCATTTTTGTCGTTTTTCAGTTTTCGACATGATTTGAAAAAGCATGTTGTCCTTTACATTGTGTGTAAATTTCATGATGAATGGACCAAAATAAATGATCCAAAACGACTTGGGGAAAATCTTGTTCCATTGACTTACATTAATAGTAAAGAAGGTTTTTACCTTCTCCTGTAAAGTCATCATTTTACAGATACAAGGTTTTGTTCCGACAGCAGCATTATGCACATTTTTGAGACATCTAACCATTAAAAAGTAATTTAAGGAACCTAAATGTGGGTTTTTCTATGGAACTGCTCCAAAGAACCCCTTTTGAGAGTGTACTGAGGTTATAAAAGAAGCACGAGAGGGCAACAGGTGGTTGAATGGAGAGTGCAGAGCGAGAATAAGGACCTTTCTATTGAAAGCTATTACACAACACAGTTATAAATATGCTGCCTGAACCTGAATTATGATAGTTTTATGACAGTTAAGTATGACCTGAAAGCCATGGTGGAGAGGCACATGCAGGGTGTTGAAAGCTACAATAGTCTTTCCAAAAAAAATATGTTTTTTTTGCATTTAGCACTTCACAACACAGGTTCACTGCTGGTTTTGGATAATAAATAAAATGGCTATATATGTGTTGTAGTCATGGTGACCTCTGGTTCCTGTTACCACCACTGTAAAGAAATCGGAGTCTCTCTGTTTTTCTACAATAAACCATTTTACATCACGCCACTCTGAACAAGCAGCAATTTTGGAAAATTGGTGGAATTTCCCTTTGATACAACACCTAAAGTTTAAGCAGAATTAAATGTGCTTAGCAAATGGAGGTAAGGTTCTTGTAAGGTTCTTTGTGGAACTTCAGTGGCTCCAAAGAAGCCTTTTTTTAAGCTCATTCATCACCGTCTCTGTCCTTTCCTGGAACTCCTGGCTTGCAAACTGGATGTTCTAATGTAGAACACAAAGCCAAGACAACAACACAGACTCCTCTGTTTAACTTGTCAGTCACACTTTCACACTGACAAGCTAGCAAGCCAACTATTGTTGTTTGGCCTCAGGTTAACAGCCTTTTAGATGTATCTGGGGATTCTTTTTTTCAGCGCGAGTGTGCAGGGGACGGCCTCATTGAGTGCCAACTTAATTACCCTGTCACAGAGGAGCCTCGTTAGCACTTCGCCAGCTCTGGGAGACGCTAGCTCAGCAGGCCGTGGACTCCTCTTACAACCGGCGAACATGCTAACACGCTAGCACAAGGTGTTTTTCAGTATCAGCTCTTCTTTTTCCTCCTCATTTGCTCGCTCTGCTACATAGCCACAGGACACTGTTTAGGACTGTGCTGATTCCTTCCGTACCGCACGCTCCTTTTTGGGGAACAGGAATAAAATTGATGGCAACTTTGAACAAAAAGTGGGCCTCTTCCTCCTTTTCCACGCACTCTGTTTACATGAAAGCCTTCCACATGGCGCAATCCGATTTGAGTCCAGAGGGCAAGGGGGCATGAAAAGCAAATTGGGACAGGGCCGGCCCCTGTGGACGTCGCTGACATGTATTGACTGGAGCCTGGGACGAACTGTAAGCTGCAGCTGTCTGACTTAATTTGAACTTCACATGCTTGCTTGCCCTTAGCAGAAAAGGCCACCGGGGACTCACAGGAAACAATGAGATCAAAGTCAGACTAAATGGACTCTTTCCTCAGCCAGCTGAGAGGAAGCTGGACTCACCAAGGTCGTCTCCTCACATCGTACAGGTCAATCTTGTTGGGCGCCCTCCATGGAGTAGCTGGAGAGGGAGAGAGAAAAAGAGAGAAATCGAGATGAAGAACTCTATCCACTCTATTCTAGCCTACTAAGGCATTAAACTGTAAGACTCTACCAAATAAACGATGATTAATCAGGATAACAGTTTAATTATACTTTCACTGTCATAACACAACTTCATATCTCCGCAAATATAACTTTATGGAAGCAAAAAAAAAAAACGATGTACGTTAACAGAACAAAATTTTATTTAAAGACATTTCAAATAACTTCTATTGGCCCATTTGTCATGAAATGTCTTCATAACGTAAAGATCTTTGGGGTAAATATATGAAACAATAAAAAGATATATCTGTGATAAGTAAGGATTTATACTGTATCCGACAAAACAACAGTGATTTATTGTAAAAAAGGCCTGTTTCAAAAGCTGATTTTGATGTGGGTTATTGATGTAAACTGAATAGATTTTTAAAGGGAAATATACTGAGACATTACAGTGATTGATTAATCCTGTCACTAAGCTATAAGAGTGGATTAATTCTTTTTTTCCTGGCTGCCGGAGTCGCTTATTCAGCAGCGCTGAATCTATATGGGGTATTAGAATATTGGATGGGTCACCGTATAGCTGTTTCAGCACGCAGTAATATGCTCATTGTTTCTGACACGAGCCTATTAGGGCTTACCTGGGTAATATCTAGTGACACCAGTGGCACTTCCGAACACCTGCCAGCGAAGTGAGGGGTCCTCTCGACTGTTATCTATAAACACTCGCTCCAGAGCCTGGGTCCAGTTCAGCTCATTCAGAATCGTAGGAGCTGTGAGAGAGAGAGAGAGAGAGAGAGAGAGAGAGAGAGAGAGAGAGAGAGAGAGAGAGAGAGAGAGAGAGAGAGAGAGAGAGAGAGAGAGAGAGAGAGCATGCGTCAAAGCTATCAAACACATCATTTCCATAGTGACTGATGACAACTAACACCCAGTCCGTTTTAAAAGGAAAACTCCTTTGGTTTTTCAAAATTCTGCATAATTCATCTGTTAAAGAGCCCATGCCTACATTTTTTCTTATATTTTATTTTTTCCTTTGTGGTTTTAAGTATAATTCATTTTTACATCACCATTGTCCAACCTCACTTTATCCCTTACAATTAAATAGGCTGTTTTTGTTACTACACCTTTAAGACTAACATATGTAAACGAGCTCTATTCTGAGTGGTTGCTCTATATTGCACCTCTATATTATATCCAGTCCAAGCTGAAACACTACTTATAAGATCAATATGAATGGGCGAAGCTAAACCCCTATAGCAGGGGGGTCAAACTCAGCCACTAAAAGGGCCATATTGTGTTTTTATTCCATTTTTACTTAACATTTTGCCATTGTTTATTCAAAATATGCCAAAATAGGCATTGAATACTTATCCAAAAATAATTCTAAATAAAAATAAACTGTTTTAGGTATTTTTTAAACTGCCTATTTGCTTGAACTAGACCCCAGGCATCTTTTCTTTTTGTGTAACAACCATTGGACCATAAATTGTTGGGGGTCAGAACGGACACTCTGTTGCAATGCATGCTGGGGACTGTAGTGCATCTCGGGGTGAAATGGGCTAATAAGAATAGAAAATTAAAATAATTCTGCAGGCTGAATAGGACTGTGTCGTGGGCCTGACTTCGCCTGCGGGCCTTGTGTTTGACAGATGCTGCTGGAGTTTTTAAACACCTCAGTGCTGGACTGAGAATAGTCCACCAACCAAAAATATCCAGCCAACAGCGTCCTGTGACCAGCGTCCTGTGACCACTGATGAAGGTCTAGAGGATGACCAACACAAACTGTGCAGCAGCAGATGAGCTATCGTCTCTGACCTTGCATCTACTAGGTGGACCAACAAGGTATCAGTGTCTAATAGAGTGGACAGTGAGTGGACACAGTGTTTAAAAACTCCAGCAGCACTGCTGGGTCTGATCCACTCAGACCAGCACAACACACACTAACACACCACCACCACGTCAGTGTTACTGCATTGCTGAGAATGATCCACCACCCAAATAATACCTGCTCTGTGGGGGTCCATGGGGGTCCTGACCACTGAAGAACAGGGTAAAAGGGGGCTAATAAAGTATGCAGAGAAACAGATGGACTACAGTCTGTAACTGTAGAACTACAAAGTGCTCCTATAGAGTAAGTGGAGCTGATAAAGTGGACAGTGAGCATAGAAACAAGGTCATAATGTTATGACTGATCGGTGTATATGTTAATGCACTTGTTTTTGTGAAATTACAGAAACAATTAATTCAAAAAGGGCTGTTTATTATATATGGATTCTAAGGAGTGAACAATATGTTTTGAAACTTTGTTCACAAACTACATCAAACTCTTATTTCATAAGCACAAAAAGTTCTGTAAGACCTTTTTTATGATATGGACCCTTTAAGGAGGAAATAATGTCCTGCTGAGTGGTTTGATGTAAAATGTGAAATTGAGTTTCTAGAGGAATTTACTGGTGTTGATAGGAACCAGACATCTGAAGTGTTTAATGCTTCCAAGAGCTCCTTCAGAGAAAGCTATTACACAAAATATGCTGCCTGAAACTGAATTGTTTATGACAGCTTTATGACAGTTTAGTATGACCTGAAAGCCATAGTGGAGAGGTACAGGTTGTAAGCTACAATAGTCTTCAAAGAAAATAACTTATCATCAACATTACATATTCACTGGTGGTTTTGAATAGTAAATAAAATAGCTATATTTGTGTTGTAGACATGGTGACCCCTGGTTCCTCACCACCACTGTAAAGAAATCTGAGTCTCTCTGTTTCTTTACAATGAACCATTTCACATTATGCCACTCTGAACAACTCTGTTGACTTTTCAACCATTGAATTAATCAGCAATTTTGAAAAGTTGGTGGAATTTCCCTTTCTGTAGCGAATGGCGGCGGCAGCTGGCTCCTTGAACGTGCAATATGTTCAACACTCAGGTTACTTGTCATGTTGCCACTGTGTTTACAGGCTGTGAATGTTATCCATGGGGTAACAGTACTTATTCTGCTCAGGTCTTACTGTTCACGCATGTGGAATTCAAAGCGGCTGATTATTATTATTATTATTATCCACAATGAAGCATTACTAACCAATGATAGTAAGTCCACATAAAGTTAATACTGTTCTGTCGACTGATTTGAAGGGAAACTGCAAAAAAGTCATTAACACACCTTATTTTTGTGGCTCCTAACAATGAGATTTTAATCCATGAAATAAGTGTTGATTGGAAGGAAATGTAACCACACAATCTGCATCAATTATTTCTGCTGAACCGAGGTTGTTTATTCAGTGAGAAATGACCAGAACATCCAATTCACCTCTATCTGCTTCATCCCTCCAACACAGCACCGAACAAGTAATAGTATGAAAGGTAGATGTTCCTGATAAGGGACGAAACCAGACACCAGGCATCAGAGGGCCATAAAAATGGAAATTTGAGCTCATATGCTTACAACTGTTCAGAAAACGTAAGAGAACAGCATCAACCTCACAGCGTCAGGTGTGATATCAGATGTGACCTTGAGCAAGGTGGCATGTGCGGCTGCGTGAGAGATGAGAAATGGCCTTTGAAAGGTGGGGACAGCTAAAATGACACCTAATGACATACAGATAGGTCCTTTGTGATCTTTTAAATCCAGATCTATATAACAGCATAGTCACAAATGGGTTTTCAGTCCCTTTGTGAAAAATGGACCACGCATGCATTTGCCGCTGTGTATTGCTGCTGATTGGAGAAAAGAAAAAAGGCCTCGCAATTTAAACAAAGATAAATGCTTTAGTATTCTCACTCTGTCATATAAAATGCAGTGAAATCTGGCTAAAAGCTATGGTCACTGTGTGGCCAGCCTGTCCTTTTGTAAAAAAGGATTGTCAAAAGGTTTAGCACCACAAGATACAAAGGGGCCAGTATACAAAGCACCCTAATTCCCACTGTGTTTACAACCATAATCATCCTATTCACAACTGCTTTATGAAACCAAACATCTATCATCTATTAGAGAGCGGGAAAGAGAGAGAGGAGAGAGAGAGAGAGAGAGAGAGAGAGAGAGAGAGAGAGAGAGAGAGGTGAAGAGACTAAATGTAAACACATTTGTCAATGCCATCATTCTGTTTTGAAGGAGAAGTCCATCCATATTTATTTTCAACCCAAGTCGACCTACATTGTCATACCTGTCAATACAGAATGGAAACATAATTCATTATGAAACTCAGTAATTTCTAACATAAGAATGGGATTATATTTAAAGGGGAATTCCACCAAATTATTTTCCGTAACTCAAAATTTAACAACTCTTTGGCCCAATCCCATTTCACTCCTTGCCCCTATTGCTTAGCCCTTAGCCCTCAGTTTTGCACGTACATGTCTAGGGGTAGGGTGTCCTGATTTTTGTTGAGATAGAGGGGTAGGGTCAAGTGTTAAAGCTACATGGCCCTCCAAACTGAGGTTTTTCAGAGGCCCTCCAAACAGAGTGTTATGAGGAAAAAAGAAAAAACAAGATGGCTGTGCAAGCGACCAAAACTTTTTCTTGAATTAAAAAATTATAATTTAATATCATTTCAGTGTATTATGGTCCTTTTCTTTATAACAAGCTTTAAAAATCACTAATACTATGCTGATGTCTCAGTAGCTAGCTAGCTAAATTTCCCGTTCCACCTTAAATAGTGCAGCGGTTACATTCTGTTGCCTCAGGCATCACAACTACTGCTCCATTTAAGGTGGAACGGGAAAATTAAAATAAGAAGCTGGTGAATATCAGACTTCAGCTTCCTATCACTGAAGAATTAGGGGTGGGTGATAATAAATAATTGCCCCCCTCTTTGAAGTCATATGATGTCCTAAATGTAACTAAAGCCCAGCAGTGAGGAGCTGAACTTTACCCTCCTCTGCTATCACTGCAGACTGGCAGGGTCGCCTACAGAGCAGCACTAGTAGCTAATGAAGTAATGCTCTTCTTTATTTGAGGGTTGTTACATTTCATAGGGGAAGATTTCAACCTCTACCACTTGTAACTCAGGTCTAAGGGGGAAGATGACACTCGAAAACAAGGGGTAGGGGTGAAAATAAGAAATGGGATTGGGCCTTTATTTTTGCAGTGGTGGAGATAGGAACCAGGGGTTGTGATATCTACAGTGCATAACTATTTTAATTAATCATCCAAAACATCCAGTAAACATATTTAAACATATAGAAATCTGTAATTTATACCAAAACATATTGCAGGCATCAGGCAGCGTATTCTTAACTATTTCATGTAATAACTTGTGAGGAAACAAATGTAAGGGAGCTTTTAGGGGCATTAAACTCTTTGGACATCTGGTTCCTATCACCACCACTGTGAACAATTCTTAGTTTCTCTAAAATGATGCATTTTACATCAAACCACTCTGACTTTCTTTACCTCTTAACAATTCAAATTATGTATTTATTTTAAAAATTGGTGGAATTCCCCTTCCAACGGAGCAGAAAACTGAGAGTAATAACTAGAGGCAGTTTTAAATCATGCCTAAATATGATAATACCAACAAGTTAGCAAGAACAAAATGTGTCATAAGCTAAAAGTAAATCCATTTAAGAGTGAAAAACCAGGCAGCGATTTCTTTGTTCTCTTTCCTAATTCTTCAGCTATCTGTCTCTTCTGTTCTCCAGTTCTCGCTGCAGTGTTCTACCTGCGAGCGCGCCTCTCTCGCTCCTGCTGTCTCTTCTCCTCTCTTCTCTCTCCTGCCTGTGTGTCTCTGTGTATTATGCTCAGTCATATCTGCGGCCGTGTCTCTGTCCACTC